ATCATTAGATATTTCATTTGATTCTTATCTCCATATTTGCTATCTTGCCTCATTGAGTTCATTTTTGCTTTACATTCTTGATGATATTGAAGACATTTATAATAGCTGTTTTAACATCCTTGTCTACAAATCCTACTGCCTCTACCTTTTTAGTCTTGTTTTTGTTAACTGATTTTTTTTTTCAATTGATTGATTTTTCTCCTGTTTTGGGTCATATTTTCCTGTTTCTTCATATGTCTAATTTTTGGTTGGATGTCAGACATTATCAATTTAATGTTGTTGAGTTCAAGATATGGCTGCATTCTCATGAAGATTATTGTGGGGATTTTTTGTTGTTTTTTCTGGCATTCTATGGCAGCCATAGTTGAACCAATAGGACCTCCCTTCAAAAAAGAACTTGTCATTCATGTGCAAGAACAGCACTGACAGCCTCCAACTGTAGCATTTTCAGGATGCTCTTCAGATTTTGAACCAAGCCAGGGTCTTCCCAGAAAGTACCCATGCAATGACTGAACACTGAGGGGTACTAGAGGTTGGCCATTTCTGCTCATGAGGGATCCCTCTAATGGACAATCTTTGCTTCAGACTGCCCTGCTAGGTTGGTTGAGTCTCTGTCAGAGAGACTGTTTGCCTCCCCCTTTCATTGTATAGGTGTCAGATCTGTTATCATGGTCTGATGGCTTTCTATATCTAGCCTTGCTTTCTTCTTTTATCTTTCATAGATGCCACCTCTGAGAAACCCATTACACTTGTAACTCCACCTCAGTGTCCCCATCCTAGAGGAACGAAAAGACACACAGCAGACTTATACACTGATTTAATCCTTTTAATGCTTTTGTTTAAGCTCTTTTTGTGACAAATCTTGCACAGTCTTTAATCTATGGATAATCTAGCCCCATTTATTGGGTATGACCTTTCTAGGGTATCTATCTAACGTCTTATGTATTACCAAGTTCTCTCCACTCTAGTTTGAAGGAAGGGAAATTATTTCTGGTGCAATAGCGTATGGGAATTGTTTGTCTTACAACACCATGGTAATAGCATTTTCCTTAGAACACATCCTTATCTAGTCTCAAGAGGTTTCACATATACATGTGTAGGCTTGTATTTAGCCAAAGACTCAAGGGGAACACTTCCCAGATTTAAGAACCTCTTTTTCTGCATAACTCCCTCTTCTTGGGAAATGTATCCTGCAAATTCTAGCCACCTCAACTTTCTTGAACTCCAGTATCTGTTCCCTCAAGTCAGTAAAATTGCCAGGGCCTTTTTGGATTTCTCTCTCTGCACTGCAGTCTGAATGATACCTTTAGATAAAAGCCTGGAATAAAGTGGGATCATCTCATTTATTTCTCTTCTCTCAGAAACCCAGGCATGTGCTTCCTATTGTTAAATATGTGAAAATATATATTTTTTCTTTTTTTCAGGTTCTGCTTCTCTGGTTGATAATATGGGAAAATAATTTTGTCCAGTTTTCTAGTTGTTTCTCATAGATGTATAATTCCAGACTCCGTTACTTCCTCAGGGCTAGAAGCAAAAGTCTTGAATTATTAATAAAATGCAAGCCCAGATGGCTTAATAATGATTTTTATCAAACATTTAAGGGAGCAGTAATACCAATCTTATATAATTTCTATAAGAAAATAACGAAGAAGTGCCCCCAGTTTGTTTGATATGGCTAACACAACTCTGATACAAAAATTTTTCAAGGATATTACAAGAAAACTACAGACCAATATTCCTTGTAAAATAGCTTATCAAAATATTATCAAACTGATTTCAGCAATCTTTAAGAAGGATAATGCATCTTGTCCAAGTGGGGTTCATCTCAGGAGTCCAATAATCAAAGTAATACAGTGTAGTAACAGATTGAAGAAGAAAAATAAAATGATAATCTCAACAGATGCAGAAAGAGCATATGTTAAAATCAATATCCACCCACAATTACAACAGTTAGAAAACTATGCAAAGAAGAGAACTTTCAGAATCTGATAAAGAGCATTAATGAAAAACCTACAGTTAATATTAGGCTTAAGAATAAAATACTAAATGTTTTCCTTCCAAATTTAGTGAAGTGCTAAGAATATTCACTCTCACCACTTCTTTTCAACATTGTACTGTATAGGTCCTAGCCAGTAAACAGGGTAAGAAAAAGAAATGAAAGGCATAAAGTTTGCAAATGCAGAAGTGAAATGTCTTTATTTCAAGAACACATGTTTTATGTGTAGAAAATCTAAAGAACAGTGACAATAACAATACTTAATACAAGCAGTAGAAATTATGCAAAGTCTATATATAAAAAACAATTGTGATTATATATATTAGCAACAAACTGGAAAAAGAAAATTTAAAAATCCTACTATTGTTACAATAGCATCAAAAATATTAAAAGCTTAGAGATAAATTTCCTGAACAACGTGTAAGACCTCTATGTTAAAAATAATAAAACACTGCTTACAGGAATTAGAGAAGCTAACTAAAATGGAAAGCTATAGCGTGGTCATGGAGCAGAAGACTCAATATTGCTATGATGTCAGTTCTCACCAACAAAAATCCCAGTACCTTTATTTTAAAAAATTACGAAGTCAATTGTAAAATGTATTTGAAAAGAAAATGACTTAGAACAGCCAAAACAATTAAAAAAAAAAAAAGTTGGAGGAGTTACTCTAACCGACTTCAAGACTTATTATAATGTTTCAGTAATCAAAGACCAGGTGGTATTGGCAATACTACTTAAAATATATCAAAAGAAAGAATAGAGAATCCAAAAATAGATTGACACAAATATGATCAAACAATTTTCTATATGATCATCAGAGCAATTCAATTCTACAAGTGATAATGGAACAAATTAGTATCCTTATGGAAGAAACAGATCCTTGAACCTACCTCTCATCATAAATAAAACATGAGGTGAACTATAAAACTAATCATAAATGGAAAATATATATAACATTCTTAGAAGAAAATACAGGGAACTATCATCAAAACCTAAAATAGACAAATATTTATTTGAGAGGTTAAAGAACTAATTATAAAAGGAAAAAAATAATACACTGACTTCATCAAAGTTAAAAACTTCTCATCAAAAGACATCAAAATCATTAAAATGAAGAGGCAAGCCACAGACTAGCGGAAATATTTGCAATACATATATTGAACAAAAGATTTCTATACAAAATAGATAAAGAATTCCTACTACTCAAAGAAAAATACATACTACCCAATAAAAAACTGGTTAAAACACTTGAACAGACACCTCTGATATAAAAGGTATCTGAAAAAGTTTTCAACCTCATTAATCGTTGGTCATAAGAGAAATCTAATTTAAAAGATATACTACTGGAATGGCTAAAATGAAAAAATTGATAACATCAAAGGTAGATGAGAATGTGGGGCAATCAAAATCCTCATTGCTAGTAAAAGTCTAAAATGATACAGTAACTTTTAAAAACTGGCAGTTTCTAAAAAAGTAAAACATACACCGGGCCTTATCAATCAGCAATATAACTGTTAGGTGTTTACTGAGGAGAAATAAACCCATATGAGTATGTCCACAAAAAAATGTTTTTTGGGAGGTACACGAGTTTACACTTCTGTCAGAACTTAAAGAACTCTGCACTTAAGATCTCTATGTACATTATACCTACAAAGCATGGAATGGATTCTTGGTAAGGTAATAGTAGCAAATATTTCTATAAACATAGGGCAAACAAGGAAAAGATTTACATGGGAAGTGATATTCAAATCTAAAATCTAGATTTTAAAGGCATGAAAGTCAGCCATGTATAAGCACTTCACAGATTTCAGGCCTTTAAAAATAGACCCCTAATAGGATGGCTACTATGAAGAAAAAAAAAAAAAACCCAGAAAATAACAAGTGTTGGTGAAGATGTGCAGAAATTGAAACCTTGTACACTGTTGGTGGGAATGTAAAATGGTGGAGATGCTATGAAAAACAGTATGGTGGTTCCTCAAAAATTAAACATAGAATTACTATATGACCCAGCAATTCTACTTATGAGAGTATACTCAAAAGAACTGATAGCAGTTACTCAAACTGGTATTTGTACACCCATGTTCACAGCAGCATTATTTATAATAGCCAAAAGATACAAGCAACCCCAAGCTGCCTCCAGAAGCACCCCAGGCTCCTAAGCAGGGGTGGTAGGGGGCTGAGGGCCTTAGCCATGACCCCCTCACCACCACCACCCCACCCCCGGCTGCCGATGTCTGCATCCAGCCCAGCTACGACCACCAGGCCGCTGCTGGAAGCCCCCTGGGCTCCTCTGCTGGAATGAGGGGATTGCTACGGGCCTTGACCATGCCCCCTCCCCCTTCCTTGTCCTCCTACCCTATTCCTCCTCCCTCTTCCTCTCTCCCCCTCCACCCCAATTGCTCTGCAACAATATCTTAGAATGTAAAAAAAAATAATAATAATAAATAGGTAAATTTTTAAAAGAATTTACCAGCAACCCAAGTGTCCATGGATGGATAAATAGAGAAGCAAAATGTGGTATATATACACAATGGAATATTAATCATCCTTATAAATGAAAAAAATTCTGACACATGCTACAAGGATGAACCTTGAGGATATTGTTAAGTAAAATAAGCCAGTCACAAAAAGGACAAATACTATATCATTCCACTTTTAAGTGGTGTCTAGAGTAGTCAAATTCACGGAGACAGAAAGTAGAATGATAATTACCAGGGGCTAGGGAGTGTGTGTGTGTGGAGCGGTTGGTAATGTGAAGTTATTGTTTGAGTACAGAGTTTCAGTTTTGCAAGATGAAGAGTTCTGGAGATGGATGGTGGTGATGGCTGCATAGCAATGTGAACGTACTTAATGTCACTGTACTATATGCTGAAAAATGTTTAAGATGGTAAATTCTATGTTATGTATATTTTACCATAATTAAAAAAAATAGATCCCTACAAACATTCAAAGGTGTCAGCTACCTGAGATTTAATGTCTACTGGACTTTACGTGACAAACTCACCTAGGAAGCTCTGACTTGGAAAAATTCTTTCTGTCCATAGCTCTTCTCCTTGTTCCAACTTGCGGATCGTGTCAGGCTTAGTCATGTGAAACCCTGATAATGAAAAATGAGACTTTGTCTAAACTGTATGGACTTCAAAACTATTGAAAGAAGAGAAAGGCACAGCTTGAAGGTGGTAGATGAGGTACATCACCTCTGATCCCTGAAAGTTCCATATGTTTCAGGAATTCTTGAAAGGAGATATATAACACTGAAAGATTCAAGGAGTGTTCCTTACCCACAGAGATGAAGTGGCAGTAGTTTTCCAACATCACGTCCCTGTAAAGGGCCTTCTGAGCAGGGTCCAGTTGCTGCCACTCCTCCTGGGTGAAGTCCACAGTCACATCCTTGAATGACACTGATCCCTGTAAGGGCATACTCTAGTTCATCCTGAAGTGATTGGAAATGGGTGAGAACTACATACTGGAGACCTACTTCTGACAACATTCAGTGGTCAGACTAGTTTTCTCACTTTGTGTTTTATGTTGTAGAAAATGCTCTCTGAAAATACATTCACCTGTATTTACTTATTATCTCATACTAAAAATACATACTGAGCTCACACTATTTGTCCTGAATGTGACTGGCTGCCTGGCAGATCAAAATGAATAAAACTCTGACCCTGCTCATGAGAAGTTACAGGCTAAGAGAGAGTCATACATGTAAATACATGCACTCAATCAGTATTACAGGTACAATGACAGAAATACATACATGGGAAAGTATCTGAAAGCAAAGAAAAATTTCATTTTGTACTCCAAGGCTTCATTGAGGACATAAAAATTTTGTACTCACAATGAATTTGTTTGGTAGGAATACAGGGCATCAGCTTTTAAAAATTCATGGGGAGAAGAAAACCAGTTAGTAAATTCAGAAAACAGCAAAAGGCACAGTATGTTATGAAACAGTGGTTGAGCTCTAAAAAGGAAAAGGTAATATGGAGTGGGCATATTATAGAATACTACTGGATTTTGTTCCTACAGAGCAGTGGTATTAAAAATATGCTGAGCACATTCCCAACATATTGTAGTTATTTATAAATCATTAGTAAGCAACAATCCAAATTGTTAATGATTACTGCTCTTGAGTGTGAACTGTTACTATTTTCTTTCCTTCCAATATGTTGTCTTCCACTGTGATGCATGCCCCACTTTGGGTACGCTGCTTTAAGGATTTAAAATAACATGAAGAAACATAATACACATTATATGATAAAACTTGTACTTTAGAGGCAATACTCTTGAAGACTGGAGAAGGCTTAAGGTGTCTTAAATGAGAAGGACAATTAAGTAACCACTGTAAGACATGCTGCCTAGATGAGGTGATATTAATGGGCTGACAGAGGACAACTGGTTCCTACATGATAAGTACAACAGAATTGGTCATAAATGTTGTAGGGTAGAAAAATGAGATGCATAGCTCTTGGGATATCTGCATAGGCAAGTGTGTGAGTGTTGGGACTAGAAAATAGAAATGAGAAATGGCAGAAAGAATAGGCTGAACCAAAGGAGGTAAAGAGATAAATCTTGGAAATGTACTTGAAGTGTCTATGGAACATACAAGTAGTGATAGCTACTGGAGGTTGAACATGTTGTTCTGACACTCTCGACAGAGATCTAGAATAAAGAGAAGTTTCTGAGAGTCACTAGAATCGATAAGTGTAGCCTTGAGAGTGAATCTGATTTGTGCATACAGAAAAAAAGACTGAAGAGAATAGGACCAATTAGCATCTGGGGAAAACCAATATTTTAAAGGATGGTAGATGAAGAGAAATTTTCTGAAAGAAAGATATAAAAAACAGGACAAAGCACCTTTGATTCAAAAGTAGAATATTTCAAGAGTAGACTAGCCTATGTATTTCCTTCTCTTGCACCCACATATTAAAAGTTAGAAGAAACTAAAAAGAATAAATCTTATTTTATAGCATTGGAATACCGGAAAGGTCTTCTGGAAAGGTTTTCACTGGAAGGCCACAATTCCAGTGAATTGTTAGCAATTCCAGTGTAGGAATTCCTGACAGACATGGATAAAATAGAACGAACACAAAACCTGGTTTCTATACAAGTCTGCAATCAAATCTACATCCTGAAAACCTCACAAAACAGGACATCTTCCCACAAACTAATAATGTGATCTACCAATTCTACATCCCATCACATCACTGCAAAAACTAGGTTCACAACTTAGATCTCAAATCAGTGTCAAGACAAGGTAGATTCATTCAAGTTATGTATTTCCATTTAAATCAAGCAGTACTTTTCTTTCTGTTCTAGCAGTACTTTTGTGAGAAGACTGAGAAAGGAGATGATGTATGATACACCCAATCGATATATGAACACTGGCTACAACTAGAAGGTGCACTTGGGGAAGGCTTAAGTTTATCTAGTTGGAATGGAGAGACTGGGAACACGGCTGGGAATAGGGCGAGGCAGGTGAGGCAGCTAGGGAGCAAAATTTAGGAAGGCACATCCCTGACAGTACTCCTTAAATATTGCACCCCATGCCGCTTGCTTGCCTCACTCTCATATGGGAGTGAGATCGGTTTCACGGAAGCAAATCCCAATATCCAGGAAGTTTAAGGATAGAGAAGCAAATGTTCATATACCCTGAAAAAAAAGTTATTTCAGAAATAGAGGAAAAAATCATCTCACCTGAGACATGATTTTGAGATTTGTAAGAGATGAACCTTCTCTTTTGAGCTCTTCTTTTGGAAAAATGAAGAATCCTGAGAAAACAAAGATGGAGGGATACAGGAGCCATGTGAGATCACACTTGACTTACATATCCCAGAATAACTCAGTTATATCTGCATTACTTCTCCCCGTTTCAGCACTTGCCCACTCTGTGTACCTTTCAGAAAACTAGATGGGGGCCGCCCCGTGGAGCACTCGGGAGAGTGCGGCGCTGAGAGCGCAGCGATGCTTCCGCTCCTGGTTCGGATCCTATATAGGACTGGCCCGTGTGCTCACTGGCTGAGCGTGGTGCCGGCGACACCACACCAAGGGTTGTGATCCCCTTACTGGTCACGAAAAAGAAAAAAAAAAAAAAACTAGATGGACAAATCCTGCTCTCTCCCTAACACCAGAAACCTAGTCTCTTGGTGAGGTACAATGGATTCTGGGAAACCTGTTGTAGCTTAGAGAGAGGGAACGTGGTGTTTTTCCCTCTGCAGCTCTACCTTCCATCTCTGACAGAGCACACGTTTACCGAATATTTCCAAATTGTTCTTTATGGATTTTCTGCCAATTTATGCTGTTAGCAGCAGTACATGAGAGTATCTTCCCATGCCCTGATGAATACAGTTGACAACTTTTTAATCTTTGGCTATCAGGTATATATTGTAGTTCTAATGTATACATTTCTTATTATGAGTGAGAATAAACTTCTTTTAATAAGTTTAAAGACATTCTTAATTTTTTTTTGTAATGGCATCTCCTTATAGTATGCCTACTTTTCTTGTTGGCTTTTATTTCCTAATTAGGTGACATTATCTTCTAGGTTTTTTGTTTGTTTTGTTTTTTTAATTTAAGAAATTAACCCTTTATTTTAAGTTACAAATAATTATTCTTAGTTTCTCATATGACTATTAAAGTATCTTTGCTTTGTGAAAAATTTTCCATGTTTTGCTGTTTAGCAATACCACATATTGTATAATCCATATTTCTTCAATTGATGTGAAATGTCATCTTTATCATATATCACATTTCCCTATATGCTTGAGAATATCTGGACTTTCTGTTTAATTTCTCTACTTGATCTCTTTGTTGTTTCACCTGTATCACACAACTTAAGCATAGTTAATAAAATTAAGCATTATTAATTTACTAAAAGTTAATTTAAGGATTAACTATGAAACAATACTTCTTAGTAATACAGGTATGGAAATAGAAAAAAAAACTGACCAGGTACTCTGCACTCTGTAGGCTTTGAGGCCGAGAGGATAATTATTTTGCTAAATGGAGTCTGAAGTATTGACTGCTACAATGAATATTTTAGTTAGCAAAATAACTATATTAATTACTAAAATGAGACTGGCCTTGCGATTAAAAGTGTACCAAATACTTATTTTCTTAGAATGCCTTCAGAAGGTATTTGATCTTGCGACTGATCTCACCTAGGAGCAAGAAACATCACTCACGTAGAAGTGTTGAAAACTGTAGTTATGGGTAAAAATTGTTTATTTTTTTCCTGCATGCTCCCCATGGAATGTTATTCATTTCAACATATTGGTTTTAGTCAATATGGTGTTTCCAGGTAATACATTTTACTATCTGGGAATTATGAAAATCTTACCTCTTCCTTTCCAATATTTATACTTCTATTTTATTTGCTAAGTTGCTACTTACAATTTTGGAGACAGGCTTAACGCTTACTATTCAGATAATTACATAACCAACGACACACGGTACTACAGAGTTCCTCAATCATTCAAATAATTAGGTTACCATGGTCACAAAGCCATGAGAAATAACAGTAGGTTACAAACACATGCATAATCATATTTAATCAAAAATCCTCCAGAAAAACCAACAACCCATACCCCCCACATCCCAATCACAACCTCAGACAGCACATTACGAAATTCCAGGCACAGTCACAGTTACGTTCACAAATCACTTGCAATTCTCCACAGTCACATACAATCTCAAAAATGACTTACACATAGTCTAAAAATAGACACATGCACCAGCACGACTCTACTTTTCAACACAATCTGCCGCAACACCCAAAGGATGGCGCGCCCCCGCAACGCACCCGGTTGAGTACAGGAGGCCACCCCCCATTCGAGGAGAACGCACGCACACACCCCCCAACACCCGGACAAACGCAGCGACCGCGATGTGCGGGGACCCGCTCCCTGCGATGGAGCTTCCTCGGGGCCATGACAGGCGAAATTCCCCCCTGCGGAGCTCGCTCCAGGTCACAGTCGCGGTCCTCCTCAGGGTTACGCCCACGGACCACGCCCGAGGCCCCGCTCGTACTGATCTGAGCGTCTGGATATCGCGGTCCCGGTTTCCTCTCAGAATTACCAGGCCCGGGTCGGACTCCCGGTGTCCTCTCTGGCCTCGCCACCCTGTGCCGCTTCCTTAGCCTGCTCTCGCGGACCCGAGCTCCCGGTTTCCTCCTGGGCCTCCCCCGAGCCCCTAGGATCCGCCAGCCTCACCGCGGGCCACGGCTCAGTCGGCTGCGCCTGCGCACTCGCGCGTGGGCGTGCGCTCCCAGGAGTCTCCGGGGCGGCCCGTTAGGAGCTGCGCGCTGCTCGCGGCCGCGCTCCGTTCTGTTTGTGTCAGCGTCGGCTCTGTTATGGCTGGGACAACGTTTCTTCCAGGCCCCTAATGAACTCAGACCTCTGGTTCACTTTCCGCGGGCCTGTGGTCATCGTTCTCTGTGTGGTGAGTTAAGGTGTCCCGGGTCCGGGTGCCAGAGGAGCTCAGCACAGGAGGCCACGAGTTCCTGGGATGCAGATGGGGCAGGTGAAGGGAGGAGCCTCAGGCGTGTGTGTAAATCACCTGCTGAGGAGGGTGACTGGGGTCGTCTGTGCGATTATGTGACTGCGTCAGTGTGGGGTGAGATTGTGAATGTGTGAGTGCACGTGTGACGGGGCTGGGGGTGTTTGCGGCGAGGAGGCCTTTACTGGTCCTGATTGGGTTCCTGGGACTGACTGAGTGGGGTCGGGGTCATTTGTATGATCATGGTTCGCGATGACTGCGATCCAAATTGGCACAATATAGCTTCTTCTTCTTTTTTTTTTAGGATAGAATTTCATTTTTGCAGTTCTGGGGCTGAGGAATATGTGGACAAGATCCCCTCCCCCCCCGTGACTTGATATATGCCTGTGGAAGACTCCGAGGTCTCTCCTTTTGAAACATGGCCTCTTGTTGCTTTCTCGGTGCACCCTGTATCCACTATCTAACCTAATGCATAATACACAGTAGGCCTGCAATGTAGCCTACCCCTGGAATCAATTTTAAGTTCCATGGTTTCTTGGAATTCGTTGCACTGGGTTTTCTTTCACTGCCTCTGTCATTTCACCTTATAGACACTGCGCAGTATGCAGTCAAATGGCAGTCAAAGGGGAAGTTGGATATTTGAGACCTGAAATGAAGGTTCTAACTAAAAATGCACAGCCTTGTGTTTGGTATGGAGATTTTAGAACTGGAATTGCTCCCAAGGCATGGTCCTGGGAAGAAATGATATTGAGGACCCAAGAGTAGGATTCCTTCCTCCAAAGATCCCTCTTGGAAGCTCTTTGGGGAGATGTTGCATATTGCAGATCCACAGCATTTTCATAGCTCTGTCTACAAGAAACTGCTGTGAACATAGAAACAGATTCCAGTCCCAGCCTTTAGTGAACCTGACTTTTTCTTTATGATACAGGGAAGGATCACCAGTATTCATATCTTTCTCATACTTTCGTTTGGATATGTTTAATGTGTGTGATGCGGGGCTTGCTAGTGGTGAAGAATGTGCTCTTATTTAGCCTGTCTGGGATCCAAGAAAGGCTGGGTATGTCGCGATTCCCTTTTCTTTCCACTATTTGCTGTATTCCAAGAAAAGAGCCCTGAGCTGAATAGCATTGCAGTTGCACATCTTAAAGCCAAGCTAGAGGTCATTTTGGGTTTTTTCTTTGTTTTATAAAATGCATTTTTGTTTTTCAGGAGTGTTGATTAAAATGATCGGAGACGTGAAGGAAGACACAGCAGACGAGATGCAGGTGAAGAGCGGGGGGACTACTGCTCTCTCAGGCAAATAGCACCAACCCAGCCGCTGTT